CCACACCCGGCCATGATGGATTTTTAATTTGGAGTTTGTCACTTTTTCTTTACTCCAGGATATGGTTTCTCATTGTCTTTTTCATAGATTTTATTTTTCAAGCAGGTTATATTTTGTAGTTGCCTTTAAAAATAACCGGATGTGACAGACATTTCCCCATGAATACTAATTGTACTTACTTTGTACAGACTATTGTAGGATCCATAGATGGACAGGTAGGATCCCTGCTTTCTGTTGTAGATACATGTATAATAGGGTAGATGATACTTAGATAAATACAGACTGCAATATCAGGTGACATACGAGTGTTAGGTGTTTCACTAAGTTCTGCGGGTATGCTGAAAGAATAGTTTCTATCAAAGAAAATGGGTTTCTAGGATAGGTAGGATTTGAACAGTCAGGGATTGGGAAGTTGGTGGAGTTATCATCATTCCAAGCGAAGAGAATCTAAACACCACTGTACCTATAGTGGAGAAAGGAATGTGGGGAACATAATAAGTCTGGAGCATTGATGTATGTGTGTTAGGAGGAGTTTTACTATACAGCAAATTGGATACTTGAATGCCAGGAGCAGGAATATAGGTTTTAGTTGATAGTAATTTCAGAGCTGTTGAAGTATTTTGAGCAGAGGAATGAAGAAGGCAATTTGGTGATGGCTTGTAGATGGATTTAGACAAGATGAGGTTTTTTTGTTTTTTGTTTTTGAGACATTAATTGGTTGGTGTCACAGAAAAGGGAGAGATGTTAGAATTTGGCAACTAATTGGCAGAGTTTGAGTGTGTGGGGTTGGGTTGAGAGTAGCTCTAAGAGATTAATGATGGTACCTTCAACTGAAATATCAAATCATAAGGAAAAGCTGATTCTAGTTTAAGGCAAGTTGTGCTTTAGAACTTTGGAGATTTGCAGTTGTAGGAGTGAAACTAGGTGAATATTTAGATGTCATTCCAATTGTTGAAACGTTGGACAATAACGTGTTTATTGTAATCCTACTTAAAATATGCATTTTCTGTCAGTACAAAGAAAGATGGTGTCTATGGAGTGGGGGAATTACCATTTTTTAAAAACATGTCTTGGTTTTCTGAGTGTTACTTTTGTTATGTGAAGAACAATAGAAAGAGTTGACTATTTTAAGAAACAGATTCAGCATTGTACAGGAAAAAGGGAACTTGGAGGATGTTTCTAAGTCTGAAAAGAAACTAGGTAGGAGGGAAAAAACCCTGAATTGTTTGACCCTTTGAAGAATGCTCAGAGTTAAAGAGCAGGAAAAATAAGAGCTGTTATGACTTAGCTAGAAGAAAAGGAAGAATTAGATGGAAGTATAAAACTTGAACTTGATTTCCTAAAGAATGCTTTAAACCAAAAATCTAAAACTTGGCTGGGCATGGTGGCTCACGCCTGTAATCCCAGCACTTTGGGAGGCTGAGGTGGGTGGATCACTTGAGCTCAGGAAGAGACCAGTCTGGCCAACATGGTAAAACCTTGTCTCTACTAAAAATACAAAAATTAGCTGGGTGCGGTGGTAGGTACCTGTAATCCCAGTTACTTGGGAGGCTGAGGCAGGAGAATTGCTTGAGCCTGGGAGGCAGAGGTTGCGGTGAGCTGAGATTGTGCTAGTGCATTCCAACCTGGGTGACAGAGCAAGACTCCATCTCAATCAATCAAAAACTTAATAGGAACAAATGGTTTTCATTTGGGTTAATTTTAGCTTGTTATTTAAAAAATTACCTTAATGATTATCAAATGATGAAGGACATATTCTTTTACAAATTCATCTTGAAGATGATTTAGTAATTTGGTGCCTTGGGCATATACTGTGTCACTTGAAATAATCTGGAAATTAGGAAGGAAGGACATTTTAGAAAGAAAGGAAGGAAGTAAAGAATTTACCATCCTAGCCAACATGGCGAAATCCCATCTCTACTAAAAATACAAAAATTAGCCAGGTGTGGTGGCAGGCACTTGTAATCCCAGCTACTTGGGAGGCTGAGACAGGAGAATCGCTTGAACCCGGGAGGTGGAGGTTGCAGTGAGCCAACATTGCACCACTGCACTCCAGCCTGGCGACAGAGCGAGACACCATCTCAAAAAAAAAAAAAAAAAAAGAATGCATTATGTTTGGTCTGTCCTCTTGAACTCTGACTTTACAAAACCTTCATTGCCCTTTAAACCTAAATTGTCTTGAGGCTTAATGTACTGAACATACTCATATTTCCTAATTAAAGAATATCGTTAACTATTAGTGGGAAAACATTCTTATAGATACTCCATTCAAATGACTTTTTCTTTCTTTCTTTTAGGTATATTTGTATCCAGTATTGTTCTGATCTTGTCCCAGCGATCACTTTTCAAGTTTTACATGTACAGCTCAGCCTTTCTGTTAGCTGCAACTTCAGTGTTGGTGAATTACTATGCTGCTTTGCACATTGACTTCTATGGTGGCTACAACACATCAGCTTTTGGAATTGAGCTGCTTCCTCGAAAAGGTCCCTCGCTATGGATGGCAGTTATCGTTCTACAGCTAACATTTGGAATTGGATACATTACACTACTCCAGATTCATTCCATCTATTCACAATTAATCATTTTGGATCTCTTGGTTCCTGTAATAGGCTTAATCACAGAGCTACCATTACATGTCAGAGAGACTTTAGTGTTTACTTCTTCCTTGATTCTCACATTAAATACAGTGCTTGTCCTGGCAGTGAAACTGAAGTGGTTTTACTATTCCACACGATATGTTTATCTTTTAGTGAGGCACATGTATCGAATTTATGGATTACAGTTATTGATGGAGGACACATGGAAGAGGATTCGTTTCCCAGACATACTGCGAGTCTTTTGGCTAACAAGAGTTACAGCTCAGGCTACAGTGTTAATGTACATCTTAAGGATGGCAAATGAAACTGATTCCTTCTTTATTTCTTGGGATGATTTTTGGGACCTCATTTGCAATCTTATAATTAGTGGATGTGATTCTACACTAACCGTGCTGGGCATGAGTGCTGTAATTTCCTCAGTAGCCCATTATTTGGGGCTTGGAATATTGGCCTTCATTGGATCAACTGAGGAAGATGACAGGCGACTTGGCTTTGTTGCACCAGTTTTATTTTTTATTTTGGCTCTTCAGACTGGGTTAAGTGGGCTAAGACCAGAAGAGAGACTTATCCGCTTAAGTAGAAACATGTGCCTTCTATTAACTGCAGTCCTGCATTTCATCCATGGAATGACAGACCCTGTATTAATGTCTCTCAGTGCCTCTCATGTGTCATCTTTTCGTAGACATTTTCCTGTGCTGTTTGTCTCTGCTTGCCTGTTTATTCTTCCTGTCTTACTCAGTTATGTTCTTTGGCATCACTATGCACTAAATACATGGTTGTTTGCAGTTACAGCATTTTGTGTGGAACTATGCTTAAAAGTAATTGTTTCTCTCACTGTTTATACGTTATTCATGATTGACGGCTACTATAACGTCCTCTGGGAAAAGCTTGATGATTATGTCTACTACGTTCGTTCAACAGGAAGTATTATTGAATTTATATTTGGAGTTGTAATGTTTGGAAATGGGGCTTACACTATGATGTTTGAGTCAGGAAGTAAAATTCGGGCTTTTATGATGTGCCTACATGCATATTTTAATATCTACTTACAAGCCAAAAATGGCTGGAAGACATTCATGAATCGTAGGACTGCTGTGAAGAAAATTAATTCACTTCCTGAAATAAAAGGGAGCCGCTTACAAGAAATAGATGATGTATGTGCAATCTGCTATCATGAGTTTACAACATCTGCTCGTATTACACCATGTAATCATTATTTCCACGCACTTTGCCTTCGGAAATGGCTGTACATTCAAGATACTTGTCCAATGTGCCATCAAAAAGTATACAACGAAGATGATATCAAAGATAACTCAAATGTATCTAACAACAATGGATTTGTTGCACCCAATGAAAATCCAGAGGAACCTGTAAGAGAAGCTGCTGCAGAATCTGACAGGGAATTGAACGAAGATGACAGTACAGATTGTGATGATGATGTTCAAAGAGAAAGAAATGGAGTGATTCAGCACACAGGCACAGCAGCTGAAGAACTTAATGATGATACTGACTGATTAAAATAGCATTTATTAATCATTGAGGCATTTGTTTAAAATTCAGTTCATCCAAAATGGAGTAATATCCTTCACCTTCAGTGTGTAACCAAGCACAAAAACAGTATCAATGTTGAATCTGTGAATGGTTTTCCGTTTACTGTGATGTGCTACTGTAAATATACCTCTTTAATTACTTCTGGTCTCTTTGGTGACCTGTTTAAATTTGTGTACATTATTGTACATAGAATAAAATGTTTTCACATTTTTATGACAAAATTTGAACAAATAGCTTTTTAATAGATGTAATGCATGTGGTGCGTCAACTGTGCCAAAGATTCTTAATGAGATTATATAGTGTATCTAACTTTGGACCTCAGTTTTTCTTTAGAGTGGGTGGGAGAATGAAAAATACAAGTCAGGAAACCACATTAAAGTCAAGGAAATAAATAAAATAATTTGACCAGAGGATAAAGGACATGAGAGAGTATTTCAAAACTAAAGAAAAAATGAGCTTGCCAGAAGCAACTGAAGAACTTTTCTGAAACTTGAGTAGCAGTGTAATTGAGCTGAGTCTGAAAGTCATGATTCAGAGACTGAGGGCTGAGAAATAAACTATCGACTAAACTTTGATATAAATCAGAATGTGCTATTTTTTTTTAATGTAAAATTGGTTTGTTAGCCATTCTGTGTCTGCAGTATTGTCATAAAATTATCCTTTCATTGTTTTGAAGATATTACAAAAGTTTTATTGTTTTAAACAATAAGTAAGGTATTATTTTTTATTGTTTTAAACAATAAATAAGGTATTCAATGATACAAAAACATCCTGATCTGATTTTATGAGAAAAAGAAGGGGAATGGTGGGGAATGGTGTTTACTGATACATAGTATTTCTTTAGACAACTTCCAGATAATTTCTTTATTGAAACTATCAGTAAGTTTTACTGTGAAATTTTACATACATGATGGAAAGTGGAAGACATGTGCCGATTATATTCCAGGAAAAAATACTTTAATAGTATTGTTATATAGTGTATTGGCCAGTTCCAGTGGATCCTCATCTCTCACTGCTGACATTATCTCCAATATTTGACTAAAACAAAACAAAAACAAAAATGGTTAAATCTCCAAGTACACATTTTGTTTTAAAGCCATATAATATTTTTCCATATAAAGGAAAATATTAGAGCACCTTTAATATAATAAAGTTTAACAGTTGTAAGTTTTTCAGCAATGTCAATAAAAACTTACTGCCAGTAACTAGAAACAGACTTATGGGACTGTCTTGAATATAACTAGAGCTAAAAACCAGGTTCAAGGAAATTATTAAAGCATCCATCTATATTATGTGCACCACAGTTATGGCATTAACCCAGTGGAAATGAAGAGTCGTTTTCAGTTGCGGCTCACAGCATCATTAGGGGGTCATGATAAGCATCTTAAAAATGGACAAGTATACTGTACTTAGTAAGGGTAAGTACTGTTCCATTTTTCTTTTGGTTTTATTATGTATGTGTCCTAAGTCACAATGTAATTTGTAATAGGGGACAGCAGGTACAGTTGGAAAGCCGCTGCTAGAGAACTAGCCCTTGAGAGACAGCAAATGAAGGTTATCAGGTTGGTGCAAAAGTAATATTTACTTGGAAAAATGTGTGGTTATTGAGAGAGAGAGAGAGGAGAGAGAGAGAGAGAAGTAAGCCCAGGTGTCTTTCTTTCAGTTTTTTGTTTGGTTTTGTTTTTGAGATGGAGACTCACTGTGTCGCCTGGGCCGGAGTGCAGTGGTACTATCTCAGCTCATTGCAACCTCTGCAGCCCAGGTCCAGGTGATTCTCCTGCCTCAGTCTCCCAAGTAGCTAGCATTAATAGGCGCCCACCATCACACCTAGCTATTTTTGTATTTTTAGTGGAGGCGAGGGTTCACCATGTTGGCCAGGCTGGTCTTGAACTCCTGACCTCATGATCCACCCACCTCCACCTCACAGAGTGTTAGGATTACAGGCGTGAGCCACTGCACTCAGCCACATCTTTCAGTTTCTGTTCTTAAAATAATGATTATCCATAGTGTCTCCTAGCAGTATTATATATAAGTGGAATATTTTAAATACATGAATTAGGAAGTTCCAACGCCAAAATTGAACATTTGAATATTTTTTGCCTAAGCTTTTTGTTCCCTTAGTGGGTATCTTAAATGTTAACATGTAAAAATTAAGGATGGGGATCTAAGATTAATGGGAATTAAAATTTTTTTTTTTAAATAAAATTGTTGGCTGTGTATGGATTAAAAATTGTTTTGTAATAGTGACACAAAAGCCTTGCTTGATGTTTATACTAAGCAAACATTACACTAAATTTTTATCTGACAGTCAAAATATCCTAAAAACAAACCTATTAACATTTAAATTAAGACAGTGAAAATCCAGTTTTCTTAGGAAACTACCGAATGTCCCTCTGTATGTACTTCTCAGAACTGGAACTGTTGATCAGTGCTGCTGATGACAGTTTTGAAGGTTACAGCAGCTTTGCTAAGATTATATTGCATAGCAAATTCATTTTATTGAAATTACTTATAAGAAATCTATTGGGGCCAGACGGGGTGGCTCACACCTGCAATCACCGCACTTTGGGAGGCTGAGGTGTGCGGACTGCCTGAGCTCAGGAGTTTGAGACCAGCCTGGGCAACACAGTGAAACCCCATTTCTACTAAAACACAAAAAATTAGCCAGGCGTGGTGGAATACACCTATAGTCCTAGCTACTGGGGAGGCTGAGGCAGGAGAACTGGCTGGAGGTGGACGTTGCAGTGAGCTGAGATTGTGCCAGTACACTCCACTGCACTCCAGCCTGGGCAACAGAGCAAGACACTTGTCTCCAAAAAAAAGAAAATCTATTGGAACTTAGGACATCCTATTTTACTGTTTGATAAGTGATCATGCAGTTTATGGCAATCTTTGAATAACACTTCTACAGCCATGCTATTTCCATATATCTTCGGTGGTCAAAGCTACAGTTATTCCAAAGCGAATATAAAGTTGTTTAATGTCCCTGAGAATTTGGTGGCTTTTGTTTAATGTAGCACTTTTACAGTAGGCACAGGTTTCTGTGGGATTTTTTTTTTTTTGAGATGAAGTCGCACACTGTGGCCCAGGCTGGAGTGCAGTGGCACGATCTCGGCTCACTGCAATCTCTGCCTCTCAGGTTCAAGCGATTCTTTTGCCTCAGCCTCCCAAGTAGCTGGGATTACAGGCACCCACCACCATGCCTGGCTAATTTTTTTTTTATTTTTCGTAGAGATGGGGGTTTTGCCATGTTGGCTAGGCTACTTTTGAACTCCTGACCTTAAGTGATCCACCCACCTAGGCCTCCTATAGGATGACAGGCGTGTCACTGCACCCCGGCCAGGCAGAGGTTTTGTCTTGCAGGATCTGTATGATTCCTGCCACCATCTCCTTTCCAGCCCTTCTCCATACCGATGCTAGTTACAGCTTTTAAAAAAAATAATTGCTGGCCGGGCGCGGTGGCTCAAGCCTGTAATCCCAGCACTTTGGGAGGCCGAGGCGGGTGGATCACGAGGTCGAGAGATCGAGACCATCCTGGTCAACATGGTGAAACCCCGTCTCTACTAAAAATACAAAAAAAATTAGCTGGGCATGGTGGCACGTGCCTGTAATCCCAGCTACTCAGGAGGCTGAGGCAGGAGAATTGCTTGAACCCAGGAGGCGGAGGTTGCGGTGAGCCGAGATCGCGCCATTGCACTCCAGCCTGGGTAACAAGAGCGAAACTCTGTCTCAAAAAAAAAAAAAAAAAAAATAATAATAATAATAATTGCCACTCTCTTGCTTAAAATTCTTTGGGTAGTGATAAAATCTAAGCAAAATGCTGGCATATAAGAGCGCTCACAATCTGGGCTCATTCTACCTTCCCAGACTTCTTCCACTTACCCCGTGCATTCTACTTCCTGCCACACTGTTCCTCTGGATCAGTCAAGCCCTTCTGCAGTCTGCCTTTGCTCAACGTGTTTGTCTTTCTCTGGCTTAACTCCCAGTCATGCTTAGTAAACAACTGAAATGTCACCTTGTTAAAGCTCTATTTCCTATTTCCCTCAAAGCAGTTCAAAGCTCCTATTTCCCTCAAAGCAGTTGATGTGCCCTATGGTCCTGGTCATATATTCCAACTTGTATAACAGCACTACCATCTTGGACTCTGTCTGCTTATTTGCTCCAGGAGGGCAGGGATCCTCCCTGACTCACTGAATGCCTTATCTAAAGTGCCAGGTGGCACAGTGTGCCTATTCATCTGGTGGATGGATAAGACAGGGACTGTCTTGATTCTTCTGTGTAGCCTTAGTAACTTGTACCTTTCCTGACATATGGCAGGGGCTCCAAAACATCTGTTGCAAACAGTTTATATTGAAAAGATCTCTGTAAAAATAATTAGAATGTAAAATTGCTAACCGAATGGAGGTTGATAAAAATGACTTTGGAAGTAGGAATTAACTTGCCAACTCATAATTAGCAGATTAGAGGACTGTGTATTTTGAAATGCGGTTTAAAATTTTTCAGCTTGCAGGTGCTAATTTTCCTAAGCTCTGCCTGCTTAGCTAACTGAAGAACAGGTATTCATGAAGCTTTCCGTTTTTTGTTGTTTTTGTTTTTTTGAGACGGAGTTTTGCTCTCGTCGCCCTGGCTGGAGTGCAATGGTGCAGTCTTGGCTCACTGCAGCCTCCGCCTACCAGGTCCAAGTGATTTCTCCTGCCTCATCCTCCGAGTAGCTGGGATTACAGGTGGTCCGCCACCACATCCAGCTAATTTTTGTATTTTTAGTAGAGACAGGGTTTTACCATGTTGGCCAGGCTGGTCTGGAGCTCCTGACCTCAGGTGATCCACCCCCTCCTCAAAGTGCTGGGATTACAGATGTGAGTCACCGTGCCTGGCCAGCCTTCACAGTTCTTAAACAGTCTACATTTAAAAACACCTTGAAATTTTGTCTTGCAAATGTATAGCTAAAGTCGACAGTGATAATTTTACATAAGATTAAGAAGTATAGAAAATGACTTGTGTATACTGTTGGCAACTACTTCCTGTAAGCTGGCTGCTGGCAAAATACCAGTTTCTTTTCTCTAATGTCCTCTTAGATCCCCAAAGAATTTGCTGGGTGCGGTGGCTCACGCCTGTAATCCCAACACTTTGGGAGACCGAGGTGGGTGGATCACTTGAGGTCAAGAGTTTGAGACCACCCTGTCCAACATGGTGAAAACCCATCTCTACTAAAAACACAAAAATTAGCCAGGCGTAGTGGCACACGCCTATAATCTCAGCTACTTGGGAGGCTTAGGCAGGAGAATTGATTGGACCCAGGGGGCAGAGGTTGCAGTGAGCCGAGATCATGCCACTGTACACTGTCTCAAAAAATACAGAATTATTTAGAAATACTGTCTCATGACTGAATTTGCAAGTACTTACATTTCTCCATTTTAAAAAATTTTCTTTATTTCTTTAGAGACAGGGGTCTCCCTATCTTGCCTGAGCTGACCTCGATACTCCTGGGCTCAAGCAGTCTCCCCAAGTAGCTGGGGTACAGGTGTAGGCCACCATGCCTGGCTGCTTCAGTTTTAAAGTCTTTGTCAGCTCAAGCATGTTAATAAAGAAAAATAACCTTTCAAATATATTTTAATAGAATAATTCTTCACTGTTTTGCCTGCTGGATTTTAGATCTGGCTTATCTTCTAATACTCTTCCTGTTAAAAACTACTTAAAAGATCGTACATATGGAATGAATAGTCTTAAAAGCAACAATCTATTTTTTTCTCTTTTTTACTCCTCATGAAGACACAGAACCAATTAGTTTTTATGAATGTATTATAAGTATGCCCAATTGTCTGAACTGGTAAATCATATAAGACTGATATAATCGGGCTGGGTGCAGTGGCTCAAGCCTGTAATCCCAGCACTTTGGGAGGCCGAGGTGGGTGGATCACAAGGTCAAGAGATCGAGACCATCCTGGTCAACATGGTGAAACCCTGTCTCTACTAAAAATATGAAAAATTAGCTGGGCATGGTGGCACGTGCCTGTAATTCCAGCTACTCAGGAGGCTAAGGCAGGAGAATTGCCTGAACCCAGGAGGAGGAGGTTGCGGTGAGCCGAGATTGCGCCATTGCACTCCAGCCTGGGTAACAAGAGCAAAACTCCGTCTCAAAAAAAAAAAAAAAAAAAAAAAAAAGACTGATATAATCTAGATTAAACTATCTGTGCAAACAAAAGAAACTGGATTATGTGCCCATGAAAATGATATAAAAACCTTTTCCTGTTAGTTACCTTGACAGCTCTTTGATAGATGGGCAGTAGCCCCTCTTCTCATCTATGCTATACATCACAATTTAAAAGATTCTGATTTGCTGCTTTTTTAGGAAATAAAATGCACTAAAGTCCAACCCCCTTTGATTGGAAAAAGGAAATCCTATCACTGTCCTTTTGTTCTGAGTCTTAAATAAATGTGTTATTTCATAGATTTTTAGAGGCTGTCAAATCATTTAAATGCAAAATATTCTGCTAAGGCTTTCTTGTTACCAAAGACTAGAAGGAAGTTGCAGTGAGAATAGAAGTTAAACCAGGTAAGGTGATTATATTGATGGCTTTAAGATCTTTTCTTTCTCCCACAAAATGACCAAAATCTCATTTATTTTTCACTGCTGCAATAAAATCATGTTGGGTTGAGAAGACAGGAAAAGAGGAGCTGAGATACATCAATTCAGATGCAGATTCCTCCAAATCACTGCATTAATATGGTGGTCTTGAACCTGAACTTCCCTTGGATTTTGCAAAATTTTAATTCTGTCCCTTGAGTTCATTTTGTAAGTGGTGGTTGACTAATGATTTTGAAGACCATGAAAGCAAAATACTTACATTATATGGCAGGGTTCATTTCTGTCTTTTAAGCAATGCCCACTTTCCCACTTCTTTTTGGTAGGAAATACAGTTTTTATGTATTTTGATCCAGCATGTGTACTTTTGACTCCACACCACGGTGCATCTAGTTAAGCAAAGAAAGTGTTTCTTAAGGGGTTTACGTTCAAAAAAAATTTTAATGACCATTATCAAACTAATACATAACTTCTAAATGATAAACCATGATTCAGCTTCCAAAACAGCACAATCATTGCAACAGAAAACAGTTCTAACAAAAAGCACAAGATAAAAATCTTGAATTGCATCTTAAATAACTTCTAAGACTCACTTTTATTCCTTTTATCTGCTAATGTTGGTGTGAAGCATGTTTTTTTGAAAAAAGACCTAAAGCTTAAGTACAATTGTATAATAACATGGAAACATTTAGACATTTTTCAGTTTTTAAAAAAATTTTTTGCTATGCATGTAATGAGTTTTGCATAAGTTACATTTCTCTCTTGCCTCTACTGATTGTGAAACTGGTTTTGAATATTTTTAAATAAAAATTACAACAGTTTACACATTTTACAAGTATTGTACTTTTAATCAAATCATTTTATTTTCCTAACTGCCCAAAGAAATGAATGTGACTTCTCCAGACTTGACTTTCCTCAAGTCCACGGTATAAGGAAAGCCTTGATAGGGTTTAAATAAAAGTTTTAGCTTTTCACCTTGTTTATTTATTATTACTATATTTTTGAGACAGAGTCTCACTCTGTCTCCAAGTCTGAAGTGCAGTGGCGCAATCTCAGCTAACTGCAACCTCTGCTTCTCAGGTTCAAACGATTCTTGTGCCTCAGCCTCCTGAGTAGCTGGGACTATGGCATGGGCCACCACGCCCAGCTAATGTTTTGCATTTTCTTTTCTTTTCTTTTCTTTCTTTTTTTGAGATGGAGTTTTTCTCTTGTTGCCCAGGCTGGAGTGTAATGGTACAATCTCAGATCACCACAACCTGCACCCCTCAGGTTCAAGCAGTTCTCCTGCCTCAGCCTCCCAAGTAGCTGGGATTACAGGCATGTGCCACCACTGGCTAATTTTGAATTTTTAGTAGAGACAGGGTTTACTCCATGTTGGTCAGGCTGGTCCCAAACTCCCGACCTCAGGTTATCTGCCCACCTCGGCTTCCCAAAGTGCTGGGATTACAGGTATGAGCCACTGCGCCCGGCCCAGTTTTTTGCATTTTTAGTAGAGATGGGGTTTTACCATGTTGGCCAGGCTGGTCTTGAACTCCTGAGTGCAGGTGATCTGCCCACCTCAGCCTCCCTAAGTGCTGGGATTACAGGCATGAGCCACCGCTTCTGGCCTCATCTTGTTTTATTTTAAGAGGCAACAGATCCTAAAATTCTTATACTAAACCAACTTAATGTTTTTGCACTGTAAAAAGTACTACAGAATTAAGCCATTATAAAGACACTGTGAACAAAATTCTGAACAGATTTTGAAACTTGAAAGTGTCATGTGCTTAGTCAAGACCCCTTGTTTAACTAAATATTCTTAACTACAACCTCCTGAGTTATATTCTGACATTTTTTAAAGTGCTTAGGAACAGCAAACTTCTAAAACTGAAAAAAGTCATTTGCATATGTTTTTCCATTAATTAATAACCCCCAAAGACCTTCTGGAAAGCATAACTGTTGAAGTTGAGCATGCTGTTTTAAAATACTTGTTCACTAAGGTTTGAAGTCTAATTTCGTTCTCTAACTTTTTTGCTTTTTTGGTATGGTTTAATATGAAACTTAAAGTTCTGAAAACAAACTTACCTGTCTCGATCATTAATTTTTCACTAGGAATTGACTTCAAAACTTCCAAATTAGCTTCAGTTTTCAGTGAGCTTAAAAAAAAGTGTACACATATATTTATTTTAAAAGGCAGCAATTAAGAAATACCTTTTTTTATACCACAACTTATCTGAAATATTACAAAACCAACCCAAAACCCCGTAACATTTTGTTTTCAGTATACTTTAGAAAGTATTTGCACACTCCCATACTTCAACAATTCAGATTAAAATCTACTTTAACTCGATCTGCCTTCCGGAAATGCAATTTTCCATGCTTATCAGTTGATTTCCAATAGTGTTCTGTATCAGTTTAAGTAAAATTTAACTTTTTAAAAGAATTCATTTGCTTCTGAGTAATTTGCACAACTTAGAGGTGCTCATAAGGCTGTTAATGTTCATTTCCTGAATTTTCCATTTTTAGCCCAAGACCGATTCTTCAGTCTAGCCGAATTATGTGTCTGCACCCTTGTCATGGTTTCTTTGTAGGATGAACTCTATTGCTTGAATCCGGCTTTGGCCTCAAGTCCTGCTATGGCTGCCTGTGGCAGCCTCTATCAGCCAAAACCCTGCTGACTCAAAGATCCACGAATGTGAACATAAATGCTTCCTGTAATGTGGCAGTCAGGTTTGGAATCGTGTACCATACAATGTGATAACAACTATTACTGTTCTTATATTACTTTAAAAACAAAATTTTTGTAATCACAAGTTTATTTTGGAATAATTTTTTAAGAGTTTTAGGTTTACTAAAAAAACCTAAATAAAAAGTACAGAGATTCCCCAACCATATGCTCCCACTCTCATAATTCCACACCATACTGGTAGGTACATTTGTCATTGATGAACCTACCTTGACACAAAAATGTCACCCAAAACCCAGAGTTTACATTAGAGTTCACCTAGTGTTATGTGTTCTGCGGGTTTGGACAAATATGCAATGACTTGTATCTACCATTGTGTTATCATGCTGAGTAGTTTCACGGTCTTAAAAATCTGTGTCATCCCTCCTTCCCCTCCACTCCCTTATCTTTCTACGGTCCCCATAGTTTTGCCTTTTCCAGAATGTCACATAGTCTGAATCATATAGTTCGTAGTCTTTTCAGGCTTTTTTCATTTGGAAACACAATCAAATTCCATGTTTTTCAGGGTTTGACAGCTCATTTCTTTTTAATATTGAGTAATATTCCACTGGATATATCACAGTTTATTCCTTCATTCACTTGCTGAGGAATATCTTGGTTGCTTCCTTATGTAGCAGTGTTAATTTCAGCATTTGTTATTACGAAGAATTTAAAATATACATTGAATTGGGTAATCTCATATAGTTATCACCCAGCCCTATCAATCAACAACACATGGCCAATCCTGTTCCACCCACGTATAGTTTTAATCTTTCAGCATTTAATTCAGGATGTTTTGGCATGTGTCTCTGAGCATAAGGATTCTCTTTAAAAAATGCAACCACAATACTACTACATGTTTAAGAAAAACCCAAACCTTCTAGCATTCAGATTTGCAGTTGTCTCATTGTCATACATTCTTTTTAAGTTTGATTACATTAGGACACAAATGAGAGGCCCACACATTGCAATTGGTCATTGTCTTCTACAGTCTCAACGTTGCTATTACGATCTCCTGCATCTTTTTACCCTTCAAATTTCTTTGTTGAAGAAACCAAGCTGTTCACCCTGTGGAGTTTTCACTTTGCTGACTTCATCTGCATTGCAGTTTAACAGGTTCCTCTGCCCTCTGTATTTCTTTTAGGAGATCTAGAGTACCATCTACAGGCTGGATTGGATTTGGGTTGGGTTTTTTTTTTTTGGTAAGACTATTTCATAGGTGGTGGTATGATCTTTCATCCACAGACATATATCTGGTTGTATTTTTGTGATATAAGGCAACCATGGATGCCCAGTGCCTAATTCACCAGGAGCTACAAAATCTTGAAATAATTCTATCAGCCCTTCACTTATTAGAGTACTTCCATATAAATAAAATTCTGTATGCCTACTACCTGATTGCTCAAATATATGTAGTCTGTATAGAAAAAAAAATGTATCTTTCTGTCAAATGTGTTGATTCCCTAGCTTCTTCCAATGGTGCTGTTATTTTAACACCACCATTTATAATCTTTAAGGAGCTCTTATTCTTTTATGTTCTTTTAGCATTCTGTTCGTATTTCATATATTAACATCTCAAATCTTACTATGTTGGGTCTCTTCCCATTGGGGTTAGTTTTTCTGTTTATCTTGGCCTTTTTCTTTCATACTTCTGGTTCACCTCACTTGTCTGGTGATCCTTGGATATCCATTTATATTTAAGGAGGTTGCTATTGTTGCATTTCCTTTGCTTTTGTGAAAGCAGGCCTGTATTACTGCCAGTTCTGTTCTCTGAGTGGGGATTCTTAGAGGGACCTTCTGGTGGGAGAAGGTATGTTATGAAACTTCATTTAAAGGTAAGAGTACAGGGAGCTAATCATTAGGGTCATGGTTCTCTAAGTGCTTTCCTACAGGGTTGACGTAAGCACTCCAAGCCTCCCTCACCATACAGTTGGTTCAATTTTCTTAAGAAAAAAATCCCTCCCCCCCAGCCCCTGTGTAAATGTTTACTGCTTTTGTCCTCCATTCACAGGAGTGGATATGTGAGGGAGATCTTTTCTCTATATAGGCCCTCAATTAATCATCATTTGTAATCCTATTTTATACTAACTCTAAGCCCAAAGCCTTGCTATGGGATTTTGTTTGCTAGACTTGCTCCCTTCCCTTCTGAGGCCCCTTAGTGGTGTAATCTAAGCTTTCTCTTCCAGTTTCCCCTGTCTTCAGAAATCTACAGACCATTTCTTTTCTTTTCTTTTTTTTTTTTTTTAAGAGATGGGGGTCTCATTATGTTGCCCAGACTGGTCACGTGTGTAGATCTAGCTACTGAAGATGCTGTGTCAGGAGTATCACTTGACCTCCTGGGCTCACCCAGCTACAAAACATTCATTAGCAAAACTCCGGCCTTTTTTCTTTGCCATTATAGGTTCTTTCCTTTTTCAATATCTGTAATTTTATTTTCATAGGATTTTAGGAGGAGTGGGTGGGATGTCATTAGTTTGACATTAAGTAGCAATCAATGCTCCCTAGAAAAGATTATTTCTTAATACTTGGTCAATATGGATATTTTCTAAAATATATTGGTGTGCCTTGTATGGATACTAAAAACTTTTCACCAAATTATCAGATAATTTGTATTTTTGATCTCACTAAATCGTGTCTGATTAACTTAATATTTTTCTATGTCTATTCCATACCTGTAAGAATTTGCCCAAATATATATATATATATACTAATAAAAGAAATATTTTAAATAGAAGCCAGTATTTCTATTTAATAAGGTTTCTCATTTAATGATGAGCAACTACATGCTTCTGAAGTCAAGTTTGAAATACATCTTCCCATTTTCTTGGGGGAAAAAATTCTAATTTAACTTAGAAACCAAAGACTTTATGTGATATGCTACTGTAAGTAGACTAAGTCATCATACCTCAGAGACTCAGATTAAGATGACAATGAATTAGATTTCAAAATAAGAATATAAGCATCCACTTTAATAAATGACTAACCTATTAATTCTGAAGCTAATATTAATGTAGGAGAAAAGAATCTTTTGTGATTAGCTTAAAGCAACATCATAATAAACTCAAGATCATTTAGAAATATCTAAGGAGCCAGGTAAGGTGGCTCATGTCTGTAATCACAGCACTTTGGGAGGCAGATTGCTTGAGCTCAGGAGTTTGAGACCAGCCTGGGCAACATGGTGAAACCCTGTCTCCACAAAAAGTACAAACATTAGCCAAGTGTGGTGATGGGAGCTTGTGGTCTCAGCTACTATACTTGGGAGGATTGCTTGAGCCCAGGAGGTTGAGACTGCAGTGAGTCATTCAGCCTGGGAGACAGAGTGAGACCCTGCCTCAAAAAAAAAAAAAAAGAAATCGAAGAATTACGGTTTTAAGTTGGTGAAATAAAGATCTACCCCATTCTTTTAAAACAACAACAAAAAAACAAACCCCCAAACTTACAAGGAGAAAACCACAATTTTTTAAATGAAACTAGGAGACATATGTTACCCCAAATCACAACATATAAAGCTGAAAGTGGACGGAGAAGTGATAAACACCATTGTTTAAGTACCAAATGACTTATATGCTATGTGCCTGGAGAGAAAGACAAGAAACCTAGAAGTAGATACAGTCCCTAGAAAGGTGGAGTAAGGCAGGGACTTGAATGGAAATTGTTTGAAAACACCCCAAGAGAAGATGGGGTTCCTAGGTTATGTATCTGTGACTTGGTGCAGAGAAAGGGTTGCTGGGTCTCAAGAGAACCTACATCAGAAACAGCTAGAGAACAAGCACAGAGAAGCACAGGCGTCAGGCACAGGCCTGATCATGGAGACCAGGACAGCCCACCAAACAGTGAGATCCTCTAACCCATCCTGCTCCAAAACACTGTCACGGACATTTACAAACCCTTTCCCTCCACTGTTCCCACTTTTCCAGCAGATAACAGAGGATGCCTTTCTGGAGAAACTAAACCAACCCAGAAAAAAGATCTCTACACAATGACATTTGAGAATCCCTAGTAAAAAGTCAGTTGGCCATCTGAGCCTTCCAGTTACTGGAATGCTTTCTAGAGAGCTTCCAAATGGCTTTTTTTTTTTTCTTTTCTTTTTTTCTTTTAGACAGAGTCTCGCTCTTGTTTTCCAGGCTGGAGTGCAATGGCCTGATCTCAGCTCACTGCAACCTCTGCCTCCTGGATACAAGTGATTCTCCCGCCTTGGCCTCCCAAGTAGCTGGGATTCCAGGCACGAGCCACCATGCCCAGCTAATTTTTGTATTTTTAGTAGAGACGAGGTTTCACCCTGTTGGTCAGACTGGTCTCAAACTCCAGACTTCAAGTGATCCTCCTGTCTTGGCCTCCCAAAATGCTAGGATTACAGGCATGAGCCACTGTGCCCGGCCAAATGGCTTTTTAAAAACAGACAGCAAAGGATTGCCTGACATTTGAAGAAAGTTTCCATCATCACAGAGACCAAAGCAAAGAAGAAAAGGGGACTTTTGAGGAAATAAATGCAGGAAGACAAGCAGAAAGTAACTTTAAACTGTAATTCATATCTTTAGAGAGATCAGAAGATACTGCAATATAAAAACTGTTCAGAAACTGAAAACAAAAGCTGAAGTAAATTTCATAAAAAGGGTTTCAAAATATAGCACTTTCTTTGGAAGGAGGGAAACAATGGAAATAGAATAAAAAAAATACGAGTTATCAGTCTGGTATGCCCAAGGAAAGAACAGAAAAGAAAATTCAAATTCCAAGGATGGGTAAAGATAAGCCCCCTGCTGGAAGGACTAGTGAAAGAGCAACATGAGGCATGACGAACACCATCAACACACATCTTCATGAAATTTCACATCAGAGATGAAAAACTAAAACCTTTCACAAGAGAAGGAAACTAGGTCACAGGTAAATGATTAGGAATCAGAAAACACTGAAACCTACTGATAGGACATTGTAAATTCTCAATGAAAATGATTTCTGATCTAGAATTTTATACACAGAGAAACTATCAATTGAAAGTGGGCTTCTCTCCCCTTTCATTAATTACCCAGGCTAACTTTTAAGAGGAAGAGTAGAAACAAAATTCAGTTTCAAACATGCACAATTTCAAGAAACTTCATTCCCATGAAAACGTCCTCAGAGGGTGTTACAGAATGTGTTCCACTAAAACAAACACAAGGAATTCATGGGATCTAAAAATAGGAGTTCTATCACAGAAGAGACACTAGTCCAAAGTGAGAATGATGGAAGGGTCTGGAACTGACAGAACTATGAGATTACCTAGATAGGTTTCCTCATGTGTTACATAGTGCTTACATTTATTTTCCTGTACCACTTTTTGTTTCCCTGGAGTAACTTTCCTCATATTTTTATTTACTTGGCTTTTTTAAACTTGAAGCCCAGCCTGGACACATGGCAAGACCCTGTCTCAACTAAAAATTTTTAAAATAGCCGGGTGCGGTGGCATGCACCAGTATTCCCAGTTACTCAGGAGGCTGAGGTGGGAGGGTGGCTTGAGCCAGAGAGGTCAAGGCTGCAGTGAGTTATGATCATGCCACTGTATTCCAGCTTGGGCTACAGAGCAAGTCCCTGTCTTAAAAACAAACAAAAAACAAAAAACTTGAAACTCTCTCATACTCTGCATAGCCCTGTGAAATTATATACTTATACAGACATAATAATGAGAAAACATTTATATAGACGTAATAATGAAAACATGAGTATACATATAACCAAAAATATTGAAATAACTACAATGAGAGTGATATGGAGAGAATAATAGAGGTAGGGGATTAGTATGCGTTATAAGAATGTTCTCATATACCCCAATGAGAGTAGTCAAAGGGATGAATCAAGAGACAATAGTATATGGATATTATTTAGAAATATGGTGACAAATAGCAAAATTGTTGCTGCCAGAAAAACTGACTTGTGCTAAGGTCGTGCTGGGGAGACTCTGATATTTGTTTATAGCTGTTAGTACTACTTGACTTTTTAATCTCTCTGCATATATTCCCTTGCATATTAAAGTTAATTAAGCCATTAATTTAAATATAAAGGCATCCATGACATTTAAACTCTGAACTCTAGAGCAAATACATAATTCCATGATTCTATTTCCCTAGATTTTAATCAAAAGTAATGCAACTGGAAATAATTTTAAGGGTATGAGACAATGAAGAAGAACAAAGTCTTATACTATTTTGCAGCTGATTTAATGGGCACATTGACATCCTGTGAAAAGACACTGGTAGAAGTTCTTACATATTTGACAAAACAAACCCAGGGACCTAGCTGTGCTAGCTGTTTGAGTGTGTGAAGGTTAGTGTGGTTTTGCAGCAGAAAGGTCACTGAGTGAGGAGCCAGAGGACACAGGTTCTCACACTTGGAGAAACTCTATACCTGTTTCCTGATCTTTTGAGCCTTGGTTTCTTTGCCTCGAGAGATGTATGACTGTCATAGAATAACCTTTCGCCCACAGTCAGACATGACATGTGTATATGTATATATAATGCTGTGAACTCATGTTTTCAAGGGATCAAATGATCTGAGAATAAATTGGATTACTAGAGAAAGGTAGCTGTTGATCTCAACACAAAATTGTTTTCCATTATTAGAACACGGGTAGTAGTCTGTAACTTTCAAGCTTTAAATTGTAATAGTAATATACTGTTTAATTTCTTACATAATTACTGAAATTCCCAGGCAAAGATCAATGCAAAACTTTATGAAAATACATATTCATCAGCAATTCACTGTAAAACAATTTAAGAAATCTGCTTAAATAAAAGTTAAAAATAAAACAACCTAAGAACGTACCAACCATTAAATCCTATATAAAGATCCAAGTCAATCAAAGTAGCTGCTGCTTCCTTAGTACCATCAAATGAATGCACCTGGGGACACACAGGTATTTTTATTATAGTAATAGTTACTCTTCAAAATTCTAAATAACATTAATAAGACGTTGTAGGCAAAAACAGAGATCCCTGTAAGTTTTTGGACCTCAAGGTTTCAAAGGTGGTAGCCCCTATAATTTTTATTTTGTATTAAATTTCCCAGTTATAACCTGTCATCATCTCCAGTGACATGATGAAAAATGTTAGCTGCCTAGAATTTCTCTCTTGACAGTGACAGTGTTGCTGTCTCTGCGCTAGCATTAGTGCAGAAGCTCCAGGAAGGGGCTCAGGAATAAACATATTCTTAGGCAAAAACATGAGGAAAGCTTAGAAATTTTATAGCACCATTTAAAAGATGTTTTAAAATACTGCTGAATTTTCTGTTAGAGGATACTTTTTTCTAGAAAAGAAATCACTTTTAAGGGGCAAGGAAGAAGAAATTCTTTTTTTTTTTTTTGTTTTTGTTTTTGTTTTTGTTTTGAGACGGAGTTTTTGCTCTTGTTACCCAGGCTGGAGTGCAATGGCGCAGTCTCGGCTCACCGCAACCTCCGCCTCCTGGGTTCAGGCAATTCTCCTGCCTCAGCCTCCCGAGTAGCTGGGATTACAGGCACGTGCCACCATGCCCAGCTAATTTTTTGTATTTTTAGTAGAGACGGGGTTTCACCATGTTGACCAGGATAGTCTGGATCTTTTGACCTTGTGATCCACCCGCCTCAGCCTCCCAAAGTGTTGGGATTACAGGCGTGAGCCACCGCACCCGGCCGAAGAAATTCTTATAAATGGGTGAGACTGTTGCTTAAAAAGCACAAACCATTATATAATCAATAATATCAGCTTAGCAAGCAGAAGGGATTAAGATGGTGTTTTTCTTCTTCAAAAGTATAGGGGTCAAGATACAGTTTTTCATAGTTTGGATGTATTTATGTAATGAAAAACAACATATAACAACAACCACCCACCTTTAAAAAGTAGGGTCACCTAAACAAGTGATGTCACATTACTACTGAGTCCAGAGACCCTGAATACACTGTGGATAACGCACTTCTCAACAGTAAGGAAGTCTGCATTACACAGCTGCCTGCATTATTCTTTCCTTCAGCACTTCCAGCTGACTAGAAAAGATACCCTCCATTAATATCAAAATAATTTTAAATGTGATTCCTCATAAGCCATTTCAGAAAATTAGTTATAAATTATTTGGCAATTTCTTTTTTGATAAGAATCAAACATTTAGGTTACATTTGTTGTAGCTTCTGTTCATTTTCAAAAACTATTAATAGAACCCAAGTAAATTCTTATTTAGAAATCGGCTGGGTGCAGTGGCTCACATCTGTAATCCCAGCACTTTGGGAGGCTGAGGCAGGTGGATTGCTTGAGGTCAAGAGTTCAGGACCAGCCTGGCCAACATGATGAAACCCCATCTCTACTAAAGATACAAAAATTAGCCGGGTGTGGTGGTGCACGGCTGTCGCCCCAGCTACTGAGGAGGCTCAGGTAAGATAATTGCTTGAACTTGGAAGATGGAAGTTTTGGTGAGCCAAGATTGCGCCACTGCACTCCAGCCTGGGTGACAGAGCAAAGCTATGTCTCAAAAAAACAAAAAAAAGCAAATAAACTCAGAGGTAGAGTCTGCAGGTTATGATAAATACCACTAATAATCTCAAGGGCATTAATTAAAACTCAAACCTCTCTCAATTCCTAAGTACAGTTCCTAGAGGATAAATTACAGAGTCAGTAAAAACAGGAAAAAAGTACACAGTAATATTAACACTACAGCAATGCAGGATGCATACATATTACTAGTGGAGTAAATGAGGCAGAGGCTGAAAACAGAGAATATGCATAAAACTCTCAACGTCAGGCAGCATGGGAATGCAAGTGCTCGGTGCCATTTCCTCTTTCCGCAGCTGGCATAGTGTAACTGTGACTTGATATACCTGGATTACAGTACTTTTGCTAGACACAGCCACTCACTAAGTCTCTCCTGAAATTGCATGTGAGTATATCTGAGCATTTTTCTAAGCCAGATTCCCAAAGGAGTCCATGATCCAAGAGATTAAAAATCACTGCCATAGGTATCTGAGGTAAGTGGTGAGCAGATAATATTTATGGGAAATGTCTCCAAAATAATGACGAAAATGATTGTATTACAGAAGTGTTTAGTGCAGAATGCAAATTACAGAAAGGAGAATGACTCTGTAGATCACAATGATAATTGTAGATGAATACAGCTGACAAGAAATGAGGACGGCAAACCTAAAACAAATGGCAAAAGATTTCAAAACAAAAATTAGTTGATATTTTTCTCAAAATTTGGATGGAAGAACATTAAAGAATAGCTGATGGAAGAGATGAAGAATATCATGCACAGTATTAGGATGTACAGATGTGAATTCAGAGGCTAGGCACAGTGGCTCACACCTCTCATCCCAATATTTCAGAAAGCCAAGGTGGGCTGATTACTTGAGTTTAGGAGTTCCAGACCAGCCTGGGCAACAAAATATACAAAAAATACAAACTATACAAAAAAATTAGCTGGGCATGTTGGTGTGTGCCTGTCGTCCCAGCTACTCAGGAGGCTAAGGATGGCTGGAGCCCAGGGAAGTGGAGGTTGCAGTGAACTGAGATTGTGCCACTGCACTCCAGCCTGCATGACAGAGTCACACCCCGTCTCAATAACCAAAAAAAGAGAATTCCCAGGGTTTCCTTGTGAATGGACTTCTGTACTCATTCTTGTACTCTGAACAAAGGAACTAAAACTAAAACTGATTTGTGTTTATACCATATCTGGCCCATAAATTCAACAGTAAATTTACATGTCTTTCAAAAAATGGGAAAAGAAGCTCCTAATTCTATTGAATTCTACCGAAGTCGTATGTTTTTCTTTTTCCTTTTTAAAAAAATTGAAATGTTGACATCTGAATTAGAGGCCATCCTTAATAACTACGATGCAGTGTGTGTCACTTATCCCAAGTGTGTGGGACCAAAAGTGTTTCATATTTCAGATATTTTCAGAGTTTAGAATATCTACATATACATAAAAATAAATCTTTGGGAAGGGACTCAAGTCTAAACATGAAATTCATTTATTTTTCATATACACCTTATACCACATCCTGAAGGTAAATGTTTTAAATAAATTTGTGCATGAAACAAAATTTGTAAACAATGAATCATCAGAAAGCAAAGGTGTCACTATCTCATGTCAACGCTTAAGAAGTTTCAGATTTTTGAGCATTTTGGACTTGGGAGTATTTTGGATTTTGGATTAGAGATGTTTGACTTATATTAATAATGACTATTTTATACTTACCACTCCCCCTACACATCGATCTCTATTTCTTTTCATTATATCTGTGAATTAAAAACAAAGAACTTTTAGCAAATAGCTTGATTTCTACAAGATACTTAAATTCTAAATGAGACTAGTTTTAACTCACCCAAAAATTCAGCATGTGAGTTTCGGCAGTGAAGAAACATTGGTAATTTTGTTTGTTCTGACAGTTCAAACTGTTTTTCAAAATATCTGCATAATGCAAAAAAATTTCTCATTACAAATTTTATTTTAGCATGGAAAGGTAATTAAAAACAGGTAATTAAAAAACAAGAGTTGTAACTTCCGTCTCTGACAAAATAGACTTTAATAGTAACAAAGACTAAAAGAAACAAGGACATCACATAATGGTAAAAGGATCAATGCAACAACAGGAGTCAATGATCATAAATACATATGCACCCAATATAGGAGCACCCAGATACATAAGACAAGTTCTTAATGACTTATAAAGAGACTTGGACTCCCGCACAATAGTAGCGGGAGACTTTGACACCACATTGTTAATATTCTACAGATCAACAAGATAGAAAATTAACAGGGACATTTATGATTTGAACTCAGACCTGGAACAAGTAAACTCAGTGAATATTTATAGAATTCTTCACCTCAGGTCCACAGAACATACATTTTATTCAGTATCACATTACAACTATTTTGAAAGTGACCACATAAATAGAAGTAAATCACTCTTCAACATTTGCATAGCATTTCACAGATTTAAATGAGATATTGGTTGGCTGTTTGTTATTTTCTTCCCTTATTCCTTTCTGTCTCCGCTGTTAAGTACAATTACTGTATAGGCATAAAAGAGGCTTTTAATACCTATTTTTAGATTGCATTCCAGCCTGGGCAATAGAGCAAGACTCCTGTTCTCTCTCCCCCTTTCTCTTTCTCTTTCTTTCTTTGCAGCCCTCCCCTGTCCCACCCTGCATGCCTCCCTTCCCCTCCCCTACCTCAAAAAAAAAAAAAGAGAGAAAGGTAATTATGTCAAAAGATGTTTTAAATTAAAGGTATTTTATTCTCTAGAAATTACAGTACAAAAATCGTGACTATTTAAAGCACGTCAGAGTTTGAAAGGGGCTCTTATAACTTACAGCTTCTGGAAAGAAATACTTCCTTTTCTGGGCTTACAAAATTATTTTCAGAAAGTAACACCAAGGCCCCTTGCCACTCAAGCTAGCTGAGCACCATCAGTGGGAGTCAGCTCACCAAGTCAGAAGCCCGGCAGCGTTTTATCCTGCATGCTAATCTATTCCACTTTGCAACCAATTTTTTATGTGCTGTTACAAACGAAGTTACTGCCACTGAGGAAAATGAACAAGGTTTCCTTCAAAAACAAAATTTAAGTATTTGCTAAATAGCAAATAACTCAATTATGCTATTTAAAAACCAAAATGAAAATTACATGATAAAGTGATAGCCCTGAATATCTTAGAGTACTTTACAAGGTTTTCTCAATTACCACGTATCATTGTCTCATTGGATTTTCAAAATAACCTAAGGATAAAAGCTGGTGTCAGAGAGGTGTAGTACTTTGTCCAAGATAACAATAAATGGCATGGCCAACTTGAAACCAGAACTTCAGTGCTCTAATTCCAAGTCCCAGCATAAACAACAAAAGCCTGTTATGTTTTCAAGAAGCTTCCTTCTGGTCCCAGAGTATAATGACAATATTCGGAGGATATAATGAATGTTCATTCTGTTTGTTTTTTCACTGCAACACAGTGCTCCCTCTTGTTCTCACAAATGGTAGGATCAGCTGAATCAGGACAACAGCTGGCTTATTATTTTCTTAAATGTGCTGCTCACCTCTTTCTAAGTACTTTAATTTGGGGCTATAATTTCTCTGTTTAACTTAAACCTCTTTTGCTCTATTTTCCTATGTCATCTTTCCTGATGTGTAGGACTATTTTCCCCCTTTGCACTTTTTTTTTTTTTTTTTTTTTGAGACGGAGTTTCGCTCTCGTTACCCAGGCTGGAGTGCAATGGCGCAGTCTCAGCTCACCGCAACCTCCGCCTCCTGGGTTCAGGCAATTCTCCTGCCTCAGCCTCCTGAGCAGCTGGGATTACAGGCACGCGCCACCATGCCCAGCTAATTTTTTGTATTTTTAGTAGAGACGGGGTTTCACCATGTTGACCAGGATGGTCTCGATCTTTTGACCTCGTGATCCACCCGCCTCGGCCTCCCAAAGTGCTGAGATTATAGGCTTGAGCCACCGTGCCCGGCCTTGCACTCTTAGAGATGCTGAATTTTAAAATTAGAAATAGAAATGTACTTCTTAAGAAACCATCTTCAGGCCAGGCGTAGTGGCTCAAACTGCTAATACCAGCATTTTGCGAGGCCAAGGTGGGCGGGTCGCTTGAGGAGTTCAAGACCAGCCTGGCCAACATGGTGAAACCCCGTCTCTACTAAAAATACACAAATTAGCTGGGCGTGTTGGCACACGTCTGTAATCCTAGCTACTCAGGAGACTGAGGCATGAGAATCACTTGAACCCAGGGTCAGAGGCTGCAGTGAGCCAAGATCACACCACTGCACTCCGGCCTGGGTGATGGAGCAAGACTCTGTCTCAAAAAATAATAATAATAATTAATTTTAAAAAATAGAAACAGTCTTCCTAAAATTGGTGGTCTATGTCTTTATTACCAAATGTTTGGATCCTAAAATCTCCTTTTCAGATTCTGCCAGGTTAGAATAAGCAAAAATATTTTCCTTTCATTAACAAAGTGCTGACATTTTGCAGTGTAGGAAATATTAATGAAACTTGAACAAAAAATGTCTTTAATAATACTACCAGTCACTACTTCCAAAGCCTCTAAAGTAATCCAAATGTTAGCAATTAAGTGTGCTCTAGTCATTATGTCAACTTTACTAATGTATTTGGCTTGTGGCTACACACAGCAGGCAGTACTCTTCATTGTGTGTACTGCTCTACACTGTACTGGTTATTTTTTCCACACACGATTCCATGGACCAAACCACATGACCAAGCTACGGATTAACAGTATCTAATGGTCGGATGGAAAACTGGCTTCCTATCTCAAGGTAAGCAAAAGTACAGTTTATGAAAATAACAGAGGCCAGCTGGGTGTGGTGGTTCATGCCTGTAATCCCAGCACTTTGGGAGGCGGAGGCTGGCGGATTGCTTGAGCTCAGCAGTCCGAGACCAACCTGGGCAACATGGTGAAACCCCACCTCTACAAAAAATAAAAGAATTAGCCAGGTGTGGTGTCATGCACCTATAGTCCCACTTACTTGGGAGGTTGAGATGGGAAGATTGCTTGAGCCTAGTGAAGTCAAGGCTGCGGTGAGACATGATCACACCACTATACTCCAGCAGCTTGGATGACAGAGTGAGACCCTGTCTCCAAAAAAAAAAAAAAAAAAAAAAAAGGGGAAAACAGAAGCCCAATCAATGAACTCACAGAATTTTACATAATTCAAGAAAAGTCCCTGAATTCATACTTGCTAGGTATCATAAGGAAGCCATGTGGTTAAAAAAAAAAAAAAAATTATTCCTAATGATACAAATTGAGGATAATTAGTACTGAACAATAAATGACTACTACCTTTAGAGAAGAAAAACCCACATGGTAACTAGAAATAATGGCGTAAGTTACAGGGTAGGAATTGGCATCTATTAAGAGACTTCTCAGCCTGTTTTACTCATTGACTTTTTTTGTAAAGTTCATAAATGAAAATCATTTTCCACTTGAGTTAGATTTGTTCATCTTAGTGAAGCTTCTGATTGTATTACTGCTTCTTACAGTTGAGGTTTAACTATCTAAGGACAAGAGCTGGAAGAGTTCAGCTTCAGAGCAGCAGCTGTTATTAATTAGGATCAAGGCAAATCCAAAAAGCCCAGTGAGTTACATGGGTATACCTTAACACAGGTAGTAATCCCTCCTCTGTAAGCTGATTGATGGCAACATGGCCCCAATTGCTCATCTCTAGGGTCCTCTAAGTCCCCAAAGGATTACTTTAAATCTTCTTGTTGTTTTTAAGACCTGCACAGTATTAACATTTTAAAGCCCTAAGAAAAATGCCCAAAACAAATTCACCTACCCAAGAGAACAGAGCTCTAAATTGCAGCAAGGAAAGAAGTGTAGCATAAGGCCAGGAAATTGAAAATACAGGGTATGGCTTAAAGGGTAAACTTTCCATAACTAGATCAGGCCTTTTCCTTGTCTTCACTCTTTGCTTCTCTTAGTCTTTAAAAAATACTTTTTCAGAAAGGGTCTGGTGCTAAAACAAGAAAAAAATATTAAAAAGAAAAACTTTTAAAACTTCCAAACAAAAACAGTAGCTAGCAGCTTCCTTTAGGGTGGTAATATTTCTAGTATGAATAATGTAACAACAGCCATGATTGCATACATACTCTGCACCACTCATGCCAGTATGGGCTTTATGCACCTTATGTTAAGAAAGGTAGGCAGTAATCTCCCCATTTTAAAGGGGATGTACAAAGGGGCAAACTGACACCAAGGACAATTATAAATCTCACCCAAAGATCTGCTGACTCCAAAGCTCCTCCTTTTAAACAGGGTTATATACACTGCCTTCACTTACCATCATTTTTCAGACACTATATCTACTGTCTGTTAATTTTTCTGTCTTGCCTCCTAATTTTCTATTTTTCTTTTCTCATACATCTCCCTTTTTCTGACTACATTTTTACTTAAAAACAAATCACAGCTGGGCGCGGTGGCTCACACCTGTAATCCTAGCATTTAGGGAAGCGAAGGCAGGCAGATTGCTTCAGGTCTGTAGTTTGAAACGAGCTGGCCAACATGGTAAAACCCCATCTCTATTAAAAATAACCATGTGCTCAGAGTACTGTGCTAAGTGCTATGGAGCTGTAACATGAGTGAGACTTGCTGTGTGCCTTTGAGGATCTCAAAGATACTAGTCTGTTGTGGGGAAGAAGGGATGACCTAAAACCAATTTCTGTACAACATGGTAAGTGCTGAAACAAGTAGATTGCTGTCTACACAGAACAGGTTGCATGCTGTGAGTACACACTAGGAGAAAAGGAGTGAGGGGCAGAGGATGTGGGATCTGTTTCCTTAACAACAATCAAAATGTGATTGTTACTAGTGTGTGTGTGTGTATGTATGTATATATATATATATATATATATATATTTTTTTTTTTTTTTTTTTGAGATAGTCTTGCTTTGTTACCCAGGCTGGAGTGCAATGGCACTATCTTGGCTCACTGCAACCTCCACCTCCCCAGTTTAAGCAATTCTCCTGCCTCAGCCTCCCGAGTAGCTGGGATTACAGGCACCCGCCACCATGCCCAGCTAATTTTTGTATTTTAAGTAGAGAAAGGGTTTCACCAAGTTGGCCAGGCTGGTCTTAAACTCCTGACCTCAGGTGATCTGCCTGCCTTGGCCTCCCAAAGTGCTGGGATTACAGGTGTGAGCGACCACACCTGGCTGTTTTATTTAACCAAGTCATTTGATGTTTTATTATTAAAAATTTTTAAATCTCAAGTAGAACTGTTTATCAAAATTTCCTCCTACATTAGTTTGTCAGTAGCTTATCCACTCTGGAATAAGCCAATGTCACCTGCTGTCACCTTCAATCCTCCCCCAGAAAGTCAGTCCTTCCCTCTGCTGTTCACACACTTCAGTGACAGTAGTTCCAATCTATTTTCATTATTTATGTCCTCTCTTGTCTACAGAGGCGCTAAGGATCAAGTCTTATTCTTCTTTGTAACATGCTGAGGAGGCACTCAGTAATCATTTACCGAATGAAAGAACCTCTCTATTAGCAATTAACACTTGGCAAGTGAGTCGAAGCACAAGCTGTGATATGCATATTCTAAGATCAGACGCTATTTCAAACATCCTCTGATGATGGTGAATAATCTTCAGAACAGTAAATTAAACTGATACTGTCAATGTTTTCAATTAACCCTAAAATGGAGTTTAAAGTATTCACGTTGCACTTTAGAATCAGTTCTAACTCATTTTAAATGAAAAGTCGTATGGGCAAAAAACCTTGAGGACTCTGCCACTGCCCTTGCTCGTCATAACACACAGTCTACTAGACTTACAAGGCTCATCCCGGCCAAAACCAGACGTTAAAGTTGAGGAATATGATCTGTGGGCTTAACCTAAAGAACTATTAAGGAGAACTGTTTTTCTATTTCAATGTGAACAAGAGAACTTTTAAAGTTAAGTGTGCTGGCCTACATATATTTGACAGAGGTATAGGGTTTTAGTAACCCTGCTGGTAACCACATGAATGTCCCTAAAAGACACAGCAAATAATATACCACAAACTAAACAGTTCTAAAAGGGATGTATAAATGAGTGACCTGAAAGAGAGAGTATGTATCCACAAAGCATTACTCTAACCCATCCTATTCTACTTAGTGCTAGATCTTCACATTCCAGAACTCTGGAGCTTGAGGTCTAGGGTATGACAGACTCTACTAGTAAATCTGCTCCTCACCCAGTGATTTTCATCCAGTGGGGACATATCAGAATCCCACTTGTGGGGAGCAGGGAGAGAAGGGGGAGGAAGTACACTTTCAGCATGTGTAATTTTAAAAATCCCTTCAGGCCATCAAGTCACTAGTTTAATCATATGCTCATACACAACATAACAAAATTATTCATTATTAAATATTATGATAGTATCTTAATAGAAATAGTATTATATCTATCTGGATAGTATCTTACGAGAGAATCTGATCCTAATTATTCTTTGTGTATAAGAAACTAAGGAGGATAGAGGATTGTTTATTCTTAAAGGTCTCTAGGGATAGATATACCTTACTCAAATTTCTGCATACTATGAGTTCTCAGCAGTGGCTGGCACGCAGTGCTCCATAAATATTTGCTGAATGGATAAATAACTAAATTAATCCCATATAAAAGCTCAGTCTAATGTTTAATCATCTTCATAATTAAGTTGTTTTTGAAATTTGACAAAATGCTTATGTTTTAAATTCAGACTGTGACCTGTTTTCTTTTCAATTTATAACACTCACTCACCAGTATAATGACAGGAGCTCCAAATTTAGGTACAAGCAAGGGGTTATAGGATGTCCTACAGGGTGGTGAGCTTTGGAGTCTTCTCAGAAGCCACCACCCAACATGGCTCCTATTAAAGGAATCTTGCAGTTCCAAACTAACAATATTCAACACCCAGCAAGAGTAAAATATGCTTTTCTAGCTTTGGTGATTGGTCCTATAATACTTTCATGGGTTGTTTTTGTTTGTTTGTTTGTTTGTTTTTTCATAGAGACAGAGTCTCCTTATATTGCTCAGGCTTGTCTGGAGTTCAAGCAATTTTCCTGCCTCAGCCTCTCAAACAGCTGTGACTATGGGTAAAGGCTGCTGTGCCTGGCTTGTAACACACTTTTAATATCCTTTGCTGTTAAATCACATCCCCCAATTTGGGAAGCCAGGGTGGGTGGGTCACTTGAGGTCAGGAGTTAAGACCAGCCTGACCAACATGGTGAAACCCTATCTTTACTAAAAACAACTACTCGGGAGGCTGAAGCATGAGACTTGTTTGAACCTAGGAGATGGAGGTTGCAGTGAGCCGAGAACACGTCACTGCACTCCAGCCTGGGTGACAGAGAGAGACTCTGTCTCAAAAAACAAAACAAAACAAAACAATCACATTCCCCAAAATAATTTAACTCATTGAATGCATCTGTTAAACAAAAAATGTAAAGTCAGGTAAAACTCATTCTTCATTTCTACCATTAAAATCAAATTAAGTGGTTCATCAACCAGAAAATGACATGCTTCCATACCTTTGAATTACACGCAGGTATGCATGGAATTTGTTTCACTTAACTTCTGATATACAAAGAGAAAAACAAACATGTCCTGATGCTTAATCCAACTATAGTCTCAACTGATAAAAGTTATTTTAAAATCACTCAAGATGTTACAAAAATTTGTACAGTCAACAAATTTCCTTACTTGAGTTGAGTATCTTTGGGACAAAACTGTAGTCGGTCAAAATCTTTAAAAAGACAAAAAAGAATAATTATTCATAACTTATACAGAACAAATTATTTATTTTCAAACAAAGTCATTCTAAGAGGCCAGGTTGGCACTCACCAAGTCCACATTCTCCTATTGCCACAACTTTCCCTTTATTGCTTTCGGCAAGATTTAGCAACTCCTTTAAGTAAAGATCAGGGTTATTCTTTTCAAATTCACCACATCTTGTAGGATGACAACCAACAGTACTGAAAAACAGATCTAACACAAAATAATGTCTTAGGATTATTTTCAAAGTATTTTCTTATATTTATTATGATATTTAGAGGATATCAAGTAATTTCGACTGGTTTTCAACAATGGCAATAAATTATTCAAATAAGAACTGCATTATGTTAATTATATGACAATTTCTGGAAAACCTAAATAAAGTAGGATACGAATATGAAAATTGCTTTAATGTATTAATAAAATAATTAATTCAACTTTTTCTTTCTTTTTTTTTTTTTTTGAGACAGAGTTTCGCTCTTGTTACCCAGGCTGGAGTGCAATGGTGCGATGTTGGCTCATTGCAACCTCCACCTGCTGGGTTCAGGCAATTCTCCTGCCTCAGCCTCCTGAGTAGCTGGGATTACAGGCACGCGCCACCACGCCCAGCTAATTTTTTTTGTATTTTTAGTAGAGACGGGGTTTCACCATGTTGACCAGGATGGTCTCGATCTCTTGACCTCATGATCCACTCGCCTCGGCCTCCCAAAGTGCTGGGATTACAGGCTTGAGCCACCGCGCCCGGCCTAATTCAACTTTTTCTAAAGCTTGGCATTTAGGGCTGTAGAATGCAAAATGAACATTTTTTTTTGAGACAAGGTCCCATTGTCACCCAGGCTGGAGTGCAGTGGTGCTATCACTGCAGCCTTGACCTCCTGGCCTCCAGTGTTTCTCCCACCTCAGCATACCAAGTAGCTGGGACTACAGACACATGCCACTATGCCTGGCTAACTTTAAATTGTTTTTTTTTTGTTGTTGAGACAGGGTTTCACTACATTGCCCAGGCTAGTCTTGATCTCCTGAGCTCAAGTGATCCGCCTCCCAAAGTGCTGGTATTACAGGCCTGAGCCACCATGTCCAGCACTAATTTTATCTTTTATATTCACCAGTGATGTGACTATCTTGATTTGTATATTTTTGTTTAACACCAATTATTCCATTATTGATTTATGCATTTAATATAGCAATAAAAATGTATTCCCTTAAAAAGGTTAATAATGGGGGTGATTTAAAGAGGTGGAAAGGGGGATTTGTTTTTCTAATAGAAGAATGAGGGCCAGGTGAGGTGGCTCACGCCTGTAATCCCAACACTTTGGGAGGCCAATGTGGGCGGATCATGAGGTCAAGATATCGAGACCATCCTGACCAACATGGTGGAAACCCCGTCTTCAAAATAAATAAATAAATAAAAAGAATGAGGTTCACTTATTTGGAGGATACTCTGACAGCTTTACTTATATAGAATACAAATGGGGAGTCAAAACCACTTTTTGAATGGCTTAGCTGAGCCTGAACCTTGGGAGAGGTATCAAGCCTTCTTGGCGCTCTCATGCAGATGTTTACAAACATGTGCAAACAAAGGAAGCAGCACTTTTAAAGCTATAAGAACACAAGTTACATGGAGAGGAGTGGAAAAGAGCTGATAATGGAGGTGGGAGAACTTTAAAATGCATAGATGTCTGGGGATAAAAAGTAAGGATAAAATGTTCTTATATGTCAAAAACTCCCTGGAAGATACTCTATCTTTAATCTCTAAGAAAAAGTGTCAATGAATCCTAAAGAGAAGTGTGCATTTTAGAGAGATTTCCACAAAAATATAGCTTTTAGTAAGTTTTCAAACATAAAGGAAACATACAGTATCTTAAATTACAAAATTTAAAAATTACGTAGAATATTTAATTCCTCAGTGACTAGCACGTAAGATATGAAAAAGAAGTTATCTGGGCGAGGTGGCTCACACCTGTAATCCCAGCACTTTGGGAGGCCAGAGGATGGATCTTGAGGTCAGGAGTTCAAGACCAGCCTGGCCAAGATGGCGAAACCCCATTTCTACTAAAAACATAAAAATTAGCTGGGTGTGGTGGTGGGCACCTATAATCCCAGTTACTCAGGAGGCTGAGGCAGAGAATTGCTTGAATCTGGGAGGCGGAGGTTGCAGTGAGCCGAGATCACACCATTGTACTCCAGCCTGGGCAACAAGAGCAAGACTCCGGCTCAAAAAATAAATAAATAAATAAATACGTGAATGCCAGATAAAAGAGGTTTTACGTAACTAGGAATCCTTTAACAATCATTCTTAAAACTTTTAAGATTTTAAACAAATGCAAAATGTATGAACATAAAGCGAGCATATGAGGGATTGTACAGCATTATTATTTGCATTCCTGGTCCACCAAGTAAAAATTTAATTAAATGATCCTTCATAGCTTAAGTTAAAAAAGAGTAAACAAAAAGCAACTTGTATTTTAAACACGTTAAAACACACACATGAATTCCACATCAAAAACACCTGAGGTTATATTGTGTACTTGGAGAACTTTATTCTCATTAACTAATCTTTGTTTAGTACTATGAAATGGTTTTATAAACATCTGATATACCAATGAGTACTTTGAATTTCATCATCTTAATCATGTCCCATTGAAATTAGTCAATTTTCCTGTTGTTTCCACAGTCTTGATCCATCGTATTGTACCTGAAGCAGTTTTCAGAAAGACTTCTTCAAAATTACTTAATTCCTATTTTTTTGGTAAAAGTAATATGAAGATACCATTTGTTTGTGCCAAATGCAGTGCATCTTTACTGTCTTGTAGGTTTCCACCTGTAATCATAAACTGAAATAGAAAGAAATAAAATAATCTGACTTTAATAGGGCATCAACAACAGTTTCCTAAACACGCCTTCCTACCACTTCCTTATTCTAGAATGCTCTTTCCTCTGTGACTGTCACACACCTACCCTCTGTTTAAAATTCAGCTGCGAGATTACCTCCTATGCAGAGTGGTACCTGACTACCCCTCAGGGATGTATGTATGTAGGTGTGTGTGCATGCAGAGGTATAGATTTCATCACCAGATTCTGTTAAAATGTATTTACAATGTCTATCTTTCCTACTAGACAAGGAGTTCCTTGAGGACAGTGATCAGGTGTTATAGAATAGTGAATAATTAAATCAGTGATTCAGTAGTGCTGACTGACTAAACGGTTATCCAAGTATAGTCTGGTAACTCCCAGTAAGTATGTGAAGTCAAAACTATTTTCATAATAATAATAAGACACTTTCTTTTTCATCCTCACTCTATTCCAAGTGTCTACAGGTATTCAAGAAGCTACACAATATGTGATACCACCACAGACTAAATACAGAAAAAACTATGAAAATTCAGCAGGCTAGCTGGGCATGGTGGCTCACGCCTGTAATCCCAGCACTTTGGGAGGCCGAGGAGGGCGAATCACGAGGTCAGGAGTCAAGACCAGCCTGGCCAAGATGGTGAAACCCTGTCTCTACTAAAACTACAAAAATTAGCCAGACATGGTGGCAGGCGCCTGTAATCCCAGCTACTCAGGAGGCTAAGGCAGAGAATTGCTTGAACCCGGGAGGCAGAGGTTGCAGTGAGCCAAGATCGCACCACTGCACTCAGCCTGGGGGATGAAGTGAGACTCCATCTCAGAAAAAAAAAAAAAATCAGCAGGCTTCTATTAACCCAGTCATTGAGATGTGGAAAAACATCCAACTATACTCATGTTGTTAAATTTTTTTTGTTCTGGAATATACTTATTTTTCATAAAAACATTCCATTTATTTTATGTAGTAGTTTCTTGTGATTTTAAAATAAATTAATAAATATTTAAAGTTTTTTGTTTTAAATTTTAGTATAGTATATATCAGTAGGTAAGGCTCACAGAAACAAAAGCTCTTTGGAGGTCCTCAATAATGAGAGCAAAAGTTTTGAAAATCAATGAGTTAATGCACACTAATGAATTATCTGTAGGAAAATGTATGGCTTTTGGCATATAAGCACACTTCTACATAGACAACCATTAGGGTCCACCCAGTAATTAGAATGCCATCTCTCCTAATCTGTTAAAATGAAAATGTCACTGAAGAGCTATGTGTTGATAGAGCACTGAAGCAGTGCTGTGTAAGAGGCACGTTCTTCTAAAGATGTGATTCAAGCACAATGATATATATTTTTGTAAAGCATACTTCAAGAGTCTTAACAAAAATGAATAATTCATTCTAGGTACAACTTAGGAAGAAAACAAAAAACAAAAATAGAATTGCAAATGATAAACAGATGTTTTCTTATAGCTATTTAAACCTTTAATATGATTAGACACTGAGTATCCATTCAGGAAACACATATCCATAATTACATCCTTGACTGTCTGTAAAACATAAGATATAAGGCAAGGCATGGTGGCTCACGCCTATAATCCCAGCATTTTGGGAGGTCAAGGGAGGCAGATCACCTACGGTCAGGAATTTGAGACCAGCTTGGCCAACATGGCAAAACTCCACCTCTACTAAAAATACAAAAATTAGCTGGGCGTGGTGGCAGGCCCCTGCAGTCCCAGTTACTTGGGAGGCTGAGGCAGGGGAATCGCTTAAACCCAGGCGGCAGAGGTTGCAGGAAGCTGAGATCGTGCCACTGCACTCCAGCCTAGGTGACAGAGCAAGACTCTGTCTCAAAAAAAAAAAAATATTGGGAAAACTTTCTTGTTACTAACATACCTAAAACTTTAATACTAGAACAAATGCCTACATTCAGTATTTAAATTATGTAAAAAACTAACCAAGTCTACTTTTCATTTTACTTGTAACTTTTCTAAACAGGCAATGAATGGCAAGACTAGAGGGCATCATCTCCTCTCCCAGTGTATAAGATGATAACAATGATGATGATCTCAGGGTGGTGGCTTCCATCATACACATAATGTAGGTTGTTTCTTTTATGCCAGGTATAATACCAAATGCTTTACATTGAATATATTATTTAGCCTTCATAACAACTCTATTAATTAAATACTATTATCATTCTCATTTTACAGATGAGAAAACTGAAGTCTAGTGAGATAAAATACCCCAGGTTATAAAGCTAAGAAAAATGAAGCAGGGGCTGGATACCAGGTTTGTTACGCCTTGACTATGCTCTTAACTACTACAACATAAAGGCAAGGTATTGAGTCAAATTTCAGTTTGGAACCATGCCCAAGGAAAAATCACTTCAGTTCTGTCATTCCTAAGAGTGTATGTGTGTGCATGTTTGTGTGCGTGTGTGTGTGTATGTGTGTGTGTGTGTGTGTGTGTGTGTGTGTGTGTGAGAGAGAGAGAGAGAGAGAGAGAATAAACATTAAGATTAAACTACCTATGGCTGAAACATGAAAATTTAGGAGCTTAGTATTTCAGAGTTTGCAGAAAAGCACTATTTAAAGTGATTTTCCAAGCTGAGTGACTGCATAATGAGAAATGAATGTTAACTTCTATCTTTTCATATTATTTGTGAATAATAACGAATAAAAGTTTAGAACTGGAGATTGCAGAACTTATTTAGCCACCAATGTCACTTTCCAAAACAGGTTATTCAACTTGGAGGCAGTGGCAACCAAGTGTCCTGATAGCACACTATGGAATTCAACCTTATTTCTTATGTGTATATGTGGGCTAGCTCCCTGTTTTAAAGCTAATTTAAAGAAATATCTATTCATTTGCTTACTAGAACTCTCTTAAAAAAAAAAAAAGGAGGCATTTTATTACTGTACAAATTAAAGTTTTATCTCTGTTACTTGAAATGGTATACCCTAACTATAAAAAGCCACACTAGGTGTCAGATACATGTCTTTTTGACTATTACTTAATTCTGACAAATGCTCAGTTATGTTATAAAATTGATTAAAAGTGGCCTCTTAGGAAGCCTGGTAATTCACATAGGCTTAAAAATTTTTTTTTCAAAGAGGTTTTGCCATTTATCATATATAAGAACTATACATGAGGTTTGTGTAACTTAAATTGCTACCAACAGAATGTTTTGATATTTTATTTCAATTAACTTTTTAATATCACAAGTAGACAATATGTACCCCAAATGTGGCATTGGTTTGTTCCCTTCTCCTTTGCAAAATTTTAACTAAAATTTAGTTAAAAAATAAATTTAAACAATCTCAAGAATAAGAAAACAGATGTTACCTTTTTAACACCAATCTCGACAGCTCTCCCTATTACATCCTGTAAGTCATCTGTAAAAGAGAAACTCCACATGAAGAAAACGTGGGAGACAACAATTTGACTTTTTTTTAGCTTTTGGGCAAATGGCTATTTGAAGTTTTATACTCAAAACTATAAACTTCTACAGGTAAGAAGACCTTGATTAAACTGTATTATAAATGTTCATGATCATGGTTTATCAATATACGTGTTTCACTTTGTTTAGTTTCATCCAAGATGCATAATGAGTTCTCTTTTTTTTTTTTTTTTTTTTTTGAGGCGGAATTTCATTCTTTTTGCCCAGGTTGAAGTGCAATGGCATGGTCTCAGCTCACTGTAACCTCTGCCTCCAGGTTCAAGCAATTCTCTTGCCTCAGCCTCCCAAGTAGTTGGGATTACAGGCACACACCACCACACCTGGCTAATTTTTTTGTGTTTTTAGTAGAGATGGGGTTTCACCGTGTTGGCCAGGCTAGTCTTGAACTCCTCACCTCAGGTGATCTGCCCACCTTGGCCCCCCAAAGTGCTGGGATTACAGGCGTGAGCCATTCATTGCCCCTGGCCATGGGTTCTTTATTATTTCAATTTTAAGAGTGGATTATGTTGCCCAGGCTGGTCTTGAACTCCTGTGCTCAGGCAATCCTCCCGTCTCAGACTCCCAAAGTGTTGGGATTACAGGTGTGAGCCACAAAGCCCAGCTTGGATTATGCGTTTCAAGATCTCCTGAGGCAGAAAATTTGTCTTCAAGGAGAAACTATTTGCCTTAATAAAGGAAATACTTACCTTGATGCTTTTGAACCCCCCTATAAATTCCTCTGAACACAGGGTCAGTCAAGTTGATACCAATATCTGTAGAAAGCAAAAATCGCTGATTAATCATTGAGTCTCTACTTGAAACTTCTACTTACATAAAAGCTTCTGTTACTAAACTTTTTGTTCACACACTCATCTACTCAAACAATATCCAAGTGCCTACCACTTGTCAACCAGTTTGCTAGAAGTATGGGACATGAAGATGAATAGGATATAATTCCTGCTTTCCAGAAACTCACTGCAGAATTGGTAAGGCAGATCCATTATCGGACAATCATGAAATATTGGAAGTAAACACTGGTACAATGGGACACAGAAGAGACTTCCAGAAAGAAGTAATCATTGAACTGAATCTTAAAGGATGAGTGACTTAATCCTGTGGAAGAGAGGTAAGTGCAGACAGGAAATAGGAGGAGCAAAGCCTTCAGGAGAGGAAAGAGCACAGTGCCTGCAAAGAGCTACAGGCTGTTTCGGCTGCTGGAGAGAACAATTGGCCCTTTGTATTTCTTGGATTTGGATCTGCAGATTCGGCCAATCACAGGTCCACTGACAATATTAGAAAATAAAAATAACAATACAACAATAAAAAATAATATAAACAAAAGCAAAGTAAGGTATAAAAACCATTTATATAGCATTTACATCGATTAGGTATTTTAAGTAATCTAGACATGATTTAAAGTATACATGAGGATACGAATAGGTTATAGGCAAACACCATGCCATTTTATGTAAGGAACTTGAATATCTGAGGGTTGTGGCACCTGCAGGAGGTCCTGGAACCAATCTCCTGCTGATACTGAGGGAAGACAGTGTAAGGAAGGGAGAGGTCAGAAGATGCCAGATCCAGCTATGGTACAGACACCTGTCTTTAAAATACCGGACGCAACAGGAAGCTCTGTCCTGCTGTAAAATATAAGGGAACATGGGGAACAAGACATCAACTTAGACTGTGATTAGTCACAGGCAAGAAAAAAACTGCCTCCCTTATTTAAAATATACATCATTTAGCTTTTAGCAGAAGAAGAATCTTAAAATTTGCAGTGGTGGTAGGCAGCTGATTATCAACAGACTCCCTACGTTATTTCTGTCAAGTTTCAGCTTCTTTGTATGTTCTCATTCTAATTTCTGCCAAGCTGGTCCCAAGGAATGTCTGCTCCAACAATAAGACACACCTTGAAAGTGAATGGGAGTTTAGAGGATTTAAGAGATGTGGAAAATATTTCAGGCATTTGAAACAACAGGGGAAAAAGTAAAATGTGGAAAACTACAAAGATATTTGGGTACCAACATGTCAACAAAGATGGGTGGGGTGATGAATTCACAAGTGGCATCCTTTAATTAGAAGGGCTATTAACATACAAACATCACCTAATACTATACATACAGTACAGGGGTTCCGTGGAATGGCCCCATCAGAAGAATTACTAACTAGTTTATTTATAAGTAAGGAAAGGAAATTAGACAAAGGGGGCAGATTGAGAAAGGAAACCCAGAGAAGAGAGGAGAGGCTTTTCTGCCTAAAATAATCCTTCACAGAGGTTTAGTCTAGGGTCACCGACCGTCACTGCTCATTAGGAAAAGAGAAATGCTCTGTATCTCTTTTAGACCACTTCCTCTTTGTACAGTGTTAAGCAAACAATTATTTATAATGCTTGTCAAAAGACTTTGAGGAAGCCTTTATTCAAGAGAGACTACTGATGTCAGTGAGGGTTTTGCAGAAGGGAGGGACTGGGCTCAATTTTGAATACAAGGACAAGTGAACATTTATTGCCACCAAGTGGAATGGGGATCAATAGATGAAAAATTACTAAGAGGAAACATCAAAGGTAAGGGAAGACTGTGGGCATATTCAACTTGATGGACTCCTGCTGAAGGAAGGACAGAGTGATAGGATACCAAAGATGGGGGATAAGGGAGTGATCAGATAGCAAGGTAGGGATTTTCACTAAACTGACCTACAGAATTCCAGCTAAAACTGAACCTAGTGGGCCATGGACAAAGCCTAAAGTTGGGGCCTACTCCAGAAGCCAAGTCAGGGCAGTCTAATTCAGGCTTCAAAGGAGAGTCTTTGTCGGCATTAAAAAGATTTGATTTTTTCCAAAGCAAAAGCAATCTTTCAGTAGAATACAAAGTGAAAAACAGACGGAACTGAGAAGTGTGCAAATTTACCAAGTAAACATTTCTGATTCCAAGTTTAAAAGCTAACTGAAGATTAGCTTGGAGGATTAGTTTATAAAGCCATTCCTTGCTGCCCTAACAGGAATGAGTGTTAAGGGAAGGCTAAATTGTTCTACAATGCCTACCCTGAAGCAGATGCTGGCTGAGGTCGACTCTAGGTGATAGTACTTTCTCTTAGAACTGGCTTCTGAAGGGTCCATTGTTCAGGCCCTGAATCACAGTGTACCTTCTAAATGCAGATTTGGATCCAGGTGTGTCTTGGCCTTTAGGGTGCCCTGCACTGGCTCAGTAACCAATTCCTTCCCTCTTCTCTGAGAATCTCTGGTGACTTACAGCCCTTTTCTTTCTGACACGTGGCTTGCCTACAGTGTATTCCTTAGCCAGTTGTTAATAGCTGCTTCTGTGCTTTGATGAATAAACAGTCTGCTTCACCTAAGCCAGGAGGTTCGGTAGCAAGTATCCTTTTCTGGATGCTGTGTTTCACAGCTGTTTCTTTTAAGAAGTTTTCTTCTCTCCTAGAGGGAACAACCTCGGAGACAAACCACTTCCTCACCTACCTACCCACTAGCAAACACCTGCAGAGTGATTAAGATAATTGACAAATAAATACAGAAGGGCCGAAGAAAAGTTCAAACTGATCACTAAAAGTATTCCATCTGTGAACAAGTTCCAAGAAATGCCATAAAATGGAGAAAGTACAATTATGCAGGTAAGGAAAGAAAACGGGCTTTGGATGCCAGAATTTCTGGCACTGCCAATTATAAGCTAAATAATGGTGGAGAAACAACAAAGTTAATGCCAACAAAATTTATAGTGATTCCCTTATGCCTATAAATAGTTCAGCAACTGGGATAGAATAAATGGGAATCGAAATGAAGACTGGGCAACTTCTCAACCTCACTAATAATACATTTGTATCTTTTCCTCGATTTTTCCCTTCTATTAATATTTAGAAATTTTGTCAGATCTCACTTATCCTGCCTATAATAATGGTCATACTTATTTGCATCACATACAGTTAACGCAGTATCTCGTTTTGTGTCTTCTAGAATACAACAATTTCAAACCAAAACGTTACTGCAGTGAGGACAACAGCCACTAAAAGAACTCCATGACTCTTTTGGAGGCAGCAGGGCAAAATTTTTAGGCTGCAAACGCTGTTCCCCCATGGTCCTACAACTCTGCCCAATTTAACTCCCAACCCAAAGATCTGGGCCCATGTAACTTCCCGACTAACAGTCCTAGGTAAGGCCAGCTCTATACCCCTGGTCAGCAGGTCAGCTAGAAGATGAGACCTTCACCCACATGCCAAAGATTTGTCACTGTTGGCTCTGTCAGGAAGGGGGAATGTGGAGTCGGGATTAGGGGAAAGGAGTCAGGCTGGTGGGACCAGGGGAAAGCAAAGAGGTAACGTACATACCTCACAAATTTCCTGCTTCTTATCAAATACCTTGGCTGACAGAAGAATGCAAGTTAGCTCCCTGCTACCTTGGTGTTATCAGTACTGCATGTGGCACTCTGTAGCCTAAGGACCACCCTATAAAATCTCCAGCAAGCCTTTATTTCCTTAGTCAGCTCCTCTTCTGCTGATTCTGACTGCTGCAACCCTGCAATGCATATTCATACTTTCTCTAATGAGTCTGCCTTTCTTTACCTACAACTGTCTTGGAAAATTCTTCTTTTCTTCTTTTTTTCTTGAAACAGAATCTCACTCTGTTGCCCAGGTTAGAGTGCAGTGGCACAATCACGTCTCACTGCAACCTCCGCCTCCCAGCTTCAAGCAATTCTCTTGTCTCAGCCTCCCAAGTAGCTAGGATTATGGGTGCCCGCCACTATACCTGCCTAATTTTTTGTATTTTTAGTAGAGACAGAGTTTCACCATGTTGGCCAGGCTGGACTTGAACTTCTGACCTCAGGTGCTCCACCTACCTTGGCCTCCCAGAGTGCTGGGATTACAGGCGTGAACCACTGTGGCCAGCCAGTCTTGGTAAATTCTTGTACCCTCGCACTGCTGGCCCAGATAGTCAAAGCTCATCCACCGTAAGTGTCTTTCTAAGCCTCAGTTTTCTCACTAGTAGGGTGGGCATAACATTTCTCCTTCCAGCAACAAAATGTGGCTCAAATCCAAAAACGAATGTGAAAGCATTTTGCAAATTAAAAGTCCTATTAACATGTAATTACTGGGAACAGTGTTGTTATAAACACTGTAACATGCCAACAACAAATGGAATTTGAATCAGCATTAGTTATATTGTAATACCACCTTAAGTAGTTAAGGCTCCTTATCCAAGAATGCATTATCAAATATCCAAATGTGAGTCAATATGTTTTGAACATTAAGACTCGTGATGTAATCACAAAAATAAAGCCACTCAAAATCCTATTTAACTTGTTCAAAATGTTCTTATTTATATTAAGGGATAGTGAGAAACAAAAACCTAGTAACGAGAAATACAAGCACCTTCAAAATATCAAGCCCAAAAAGGCATTTAAAATGTTAACAGCAGTCCAAGCTCACTCCCCTTTGAGCTAAATAATTACTTCTTGAAGCCACTTGCTATGTGGGCTCTAGACTGACACCAAGTGGCCCTAAAATGCCATACACTCTCTAGTTCAACAATACATAGCCAATCACTAACCAATGTTATTTCTGTAAACCAGTGAGAATCCCTGATTAACAATTTTTGTAATCACCCCCCTCCTTATGATTTGTCCTTTAAAACCTGAGCCTCTTTTTTGTTCTCGGGAGCACTCCCTAAGGCAACTTGGAAGTGTGTCCTGGGCTGCAGTCCTCAACTGTTGTGCTTGAATGAACTCTGTAAACTTGATTCTGACCTTTTTGATTATTTGAGGTT